ATCAATCACGTGATCGCTCCCAGCCGCCGCCGCTATTCGTTGTGCCCGCGCATGCGCAAGACCATCCGAGAGAGGCAATACTTCTCCTTCTCCAGCGCTCGCTGTAGAGGTCGGGAGGGGCTGTTGCTGTGACACGGGTAACGCTATGGCGTAAACACCTCGGATTTTTTTTGCCATTCTTTTCTCGGCCGTGATATGTTTGTAACAAGTAAATATAGGCCAATGTTTCTGGACCGTGTCGGTACGTTCTAGCCGAACCGCCGATCCACGTGACCCCCGACGTCCTCCTGTGCGGCACAAATGGCCACGGGCAGAGAAGCTTGTCCTGGGCCCTGGGTCACTTCTGCACGCACATCATCTACACGGGACCGCTGTCCGTCCTCCGAAAGTCGACGGGAACTGCAGTCGTCAGAATTAAAGGTGATAATAGAAACTATAGAGCTACTAAGTCAATTACGCTTTGAATAGAGTAACGACACTCAAGCTCTCTTGGTGCTTTAAGGCGAAACTCTGATACTCTCTGATTTGCTTCAAAGTTGACTTGATGTGTTGAGTAGGCACATCCGAACCAGCAAACCAAATTACAAGTCACAATATTTTTTTTTCTTTCTTGTTGCCATGTTATTGAAGTTACAATTTTGATCTGAGAGGCTGAGATGCTCTACTGGCAACATTGAAAACATGACGTCAGTTATTGTAATATGGAGCAATAGTGGGGCATTACAGCTTGTTCCCGACAGGTGACAAAAAGTCTAATGGTGTAAAATTAACGCAAAATAAACTCACGTCGGCAAACAAAAACATGCGCAAAATATTGTGTTTTTCAACTGCCTTGTCGACTTGCAGGTTATACAACACGACTTGCATTGAAGTTACGTGAGCGGCCATAGTTGTGGCCATGCTGCTCAGCGCTTAACCTCTGCGGTGCATACATTTTGCACTATCCAATTTATTTTTCTTGCTAAGAACATGTAAAAAAATTACCGCCAGTACTGTGTGATCACGTCACGTGCAAGTCATGTATATTTCTTAAGCAACTATTTCTACTAACGCTTATACATTCGCAACTCCACCCCGCCGCTCGCCCTCTCGCGGACGAATGGTGAACCAGAAGAGCGGGGACCGGGACGGCGGCGGAGACGGTGGCAGGAGCTGGCGACCTTGCTGCTGTTCTTGACAATGTGTTCGCGCATCAAGCGGTTTTCGTTAATTTTTAAATAATGAATTTACTTATTTATATATGGATACTGTTGGCTCATTGGCCGTTACAGGGGTGGATTTTCGTTAAGTACACACGGATAAACCGAGTGCGTTAAAGTAGGAATTGTTGTGCTTCGCTTCGCAACAGCGGTGCATGAAGGATCGGCCCGTCTCATTTCACGACTTTTCGTGAATCGGATACGATGCGGATTTCGGACCCCACGGTCGCCCGCAAAACCTGCACTCAACGTGACGGCAAAAGCTCGCGCTAGTTGTGCAAAGCTTTCGCGTAGGATTTAGGAAAGCTCTATCCTTTCTAGAAAGTAGGAGAGAACTGCTAGCGCTATGGTGTATCGAGCAATTGACATCGGGAATGGGTTCGCCTTTTATGCCCTGAAAGGCTGCGACAAGGAACACGACAGTTTACTCTAAGCACTTTTAAAAGAAAGACTACACGTACCTGATTTCAGTTAATTACAAAGTCAAATGAAGAAATGCTCGCAGCATTTTTAAGCGCGTCTGTGGATCGATCGTGAGGTGTGCTCATAGAACGGGCAGTTTCGGCGAGCCGGTTCGCGTTCATGCCAATAACGGAACACGGGTGTAGAATTCCGTATATTTGAATATTTATTTTGACAAAGCAATAAATTAAACTCATAAAATGCTGATGGCGTTATTATGCCGTTGTTGCAGTAAACACGGCAATGCTATGACGCGCGCTGAAAAGCATGCTTCAGGTGTGCAGCGCGAACTTCTGGCCGCGATGCCTCACCGTAGGGTGGCCTGAAGTTACGTTATGTTAAAACTGCCTACTAGTAAACATGACGTGGGATTATCACGTGTTGCAATGCACTAAAACCGCGAGGATGAGCTGTGAGCCTAGATATCCATACTGTGAACGGTGTCCTACAGACGCTTGGCGGTCACTTCGAGCAGCTGCCGTTTTAGAGCACTGGTGGCCTGGCACAGCGCAAACACCACGATATTTACACCACCCACAGAAATATTGTGCCACACACAATGACTGACCGGTGCCTAAAACGCGCTCGCCCTCCACAAAGCAAACCTCTCAAGTTCTGTGATGTTTCCGCAACTTCTAAGAAAAGAAAAAAAAAAAAACAGGCACGTTTTTTTAACGCACGTGAACATCTCCATCACTTGTGATAGGCTCCTGACCTAATCATTTAGGACTTGAAGCCAATTAAATTAATTTAAGCACACTGACCAGCATCAGCGAGCAAGCGCATGAAAAATCTGTCACCGTCTCTTCTACCATCTTATAATTACCGCCCCGCCATCTTTAAAGGGAAGCTGAAGCGGTTTTAAATATGAGAAAAAACACCTGAACCTAGCTAACGAGACTTCAGCCATCACGAATATCGTATTCGTTCGGTCATTTTCTGCGCGGATTAACCGGAAAAGCGCCTTCAAAGGAGCGCCGAAGCCACGCCTCTCCGAAGCAGAGGGAAAGGGGAGAGAGGAGGAAGCCCGTCAGCCGGCGTCACAAAAGACCGGTTGGAGGACCCCGCCGCGGATGGCCGCGCTTTCCTCGTAGGCTGTCTTTTCGAGCCGTCGTCGTTCTGCCGCTGCAAAGCGCTTGCTTTTATCCCTTGAGTGGTCGTGCTACTAACTCAATCGCCTGACGTGTTGATTCAATCAACACGTCAGGCGATTGAGTTGATTGTTTTCTTGTGTGTTCACGGGTTTGCGGAATTCTCGTGGCACCGAACCAAGTGACTCGTGCTGTGTTGCACGATGCCGTACTCCTGTGTAGCCGCCAACTTTCACGAACAGCGCTCGTCGCAGTTGTTCTTCCCGCTTACTGACTTTTCCACTTCGTCCCCGAGATTTTAAAGGGGTGGCGGGTTTGAGCACATACACCGTTTTTTGTTCGAAACGTGTTTCGGACGGCGCATATGAAAACTATGTACGTATGGGTTTGGGTCTGAAGAAGGCTCGCCTGAATCCGACGCTCTGCCGACCATCTTTGAAAGTACAAAGGCAATTCAGCGCATTAAAAGTCACAAGCCAAGAGGAAACGTAACTGGCTAGGAATTGTAGGTCGACTGTTCTAGAAAAAAACTGTTACGTTATTAGAATTGTGCAGTGTGCTAGAAAAGCCGCGATCATTTAGCCGAGTAGCGGGTTTCTATTCGCTCTCTTGTGTTAACCGCCTTAAATTAGTGTTTTAGTGTTGATTTCTTATATTGTCGAAGTGACCATATTTTCCAGACCGACTTCGGTCCGGGAAATCTGGGAAACAGAAGACAACAATCTTGGGTAGCCCAAGATTATTTTCTTTTGCTTTTAATCTACTCGGCTACCCAGTCACTTGGGAGAGGAGGGCTTGCTCTAATAAGTAGTCACGCAATTCATAATGCGACTTTCACGGTGCAACTTGTTTTAGCATAAGCTTTTTTTTTTTTTTCACAGTGGCTGACATTATTTGAGGTCACATAATTTTTAAACGTAAACCTAAATTGTGTTAAATTTTCCTTCCAAAGGTTCATATTCTCTTCAGGAGAGCCTTGTGGAAATACAAAGCATGTGACCTTCTGTTCTGAATTGAGTTCTTTTTTTACAAGTTACGCAGTGTTTTCCGTATAAAGTTTGTGTAATGCAACAATTCTTTGTGCAGTAGAAATGCGATCGGACGATGATAATGCCTGGTGGCGTTGTGATGCAGTCAACGAATCTTGGTAAAAGTATGCGAATGTAGAGGCCCAGGAAGCTTTAACGAATTCGACATAAAATTAAGGGGTGCGGGCAAACATCTCTGCTTTAGTTTGAGGCAAACAAGCTAAACGCAACAGAGGGTACTGCTATGACAAGGATGGACCTTTTGCGCAGTTATACGTATAGAGCCGAAGGACATGGCGTTGGCAGAACGGCGACCCAATCTTATCACCCGTCTCATTTCAGGGGAAGCTCTCCCGTCGCCCGAAGCCCGATTATACTATCCCTTCAAACCACTTCAGCCTTGATGAACAATGCAGTCTGCACGCTCACGCGTCCAGCAGCTGGCAAGCACGAAGGCCGATCTGTGCAGAATTCTTGTCCTCTGACGAACCGTTTTGGGAAGGGTCACTCTAATCCGGCTTGAGGCGTCCCGTCAATAGCACTCCGTTTATTGTCAACGTTTTAGGTTACAATAAGTAGCGGTCAGTACGTTCCTGAAGGTACAAAGCCGGCCATGTCGCTCGCGTCCGTGCAAGCGGTTCCTCGTCTCTGTGTTTATTACTGCGGGGGGTAATTTTCCTACTTTGCCAACGGCTGGAACGCGTACTTTGTCATGTCGAGGGTCGTCTGGACACATTCCTCTTTCGGATCCACCGAAAGATTTCGAAAAATCAGAAGCCGAACCCGATTTACAAGAGCAGAAGACCCGGCGCCCGGCTACTTCCGCAAGCGACGGAGCAAACGAGAATCGAGATGGTCCTTTTATGACGTCGTGGCACGTCACGCGTGGCTAGCCAATGGCGTGCCGCTGCGGCGATCGCTTCTGATTTCTTCGCTTTTTTTCGCGTTCAGGGACTATTTTGGGTCAAATGGTTGTGATATTTGGACTCAGCAGGCACAAACGCGTCAGAATCAACCATTAACTCATTTTTTTCAAAAAGCTCTTCAGCTTCCCTTTAAGGCGTTGGAGTTGCGAATACTCTCATAATATCCCGATTGAGCGCCCACCCATGGTGGAGCGATAAAAAAAAACAGTGTCGTACTTTTCGGGTGGGCGTTCGTTCGGAAACTTTGCGGTAATTAGATCGACCGTTTCTCTAAACGATGAATGCCGTTTCAAAATGAGTTTATTATATGTTCGTTTGTTTTTTCTCGTATTAGACCACCTCGGATTCCGTCCTTTTCGGGCACTGACAGACGTCAAGAAGCGTTACCTGTCCCTGTCGTGGACCTTGGCGCCATGGCAGGATGCAGACATCTTGGCGGCCCTCCTGGATTTCATAGGCAGCTATCATCTGACAGGCATAGAACTCAGGCTGAACAACATCAAGCAGGCGTACAAGTTTATCGCCTTCTGCGAGGTACAACGATGACTTGCACAAAAAAATTGCTGCGCATGCACTAAGCTTAGCTTTCTCTGGTTGGAAAGCGAATGGGCAGGCCGGTCATTCTTAAGCTGCAGTGGATACGAGAGGACTGGCCTCATGGGGCGATCTTTATTTTTTTTTTACATCACGCCGCGTATACCTATGACGGCACAAGTTATTTTTATGGCCATTCGTGTTTCACAATTGGTAGCGCGTACTATATTGCAAATGATCAATGGCTTTTAGTAAACGATAAGAAACCGGTCCTTCTCGTGGCGAATAAAAACAACATCCTTGTCATGCTTGTTTATAAGGTTACTATCCGCAACCGGGCTCGTTCGGAAAAGATTTTAATTAGTATGTTCAGCACTGAATGACAACCCAAAAGTGTTTGCGTCCACGAAAAAACACATCGAGATAGGAATAAAAACGGTAACAATCCATAGGGGAGCCCTACGAGTGGCTACCATCCTGGCAGTCCGCCATAAAAGTAGAGTAGACGAACTAGCGTGAAGAGCCACGGTGTTTAAACCCGTGGCTTCTGAGCCTCCCGTCGACAAATCGATGGTGACAGAACATGCGTTTGCCGTTTCCGCCTTGCCGCCGCCAGGGTCGGGCTGGTCTGCTGAGTTTCATGGTTGTGACGCCCCATCATGCGAGGATAAAGCGAACTAAATTAGGAAGTATATAAAGGGCTGTCCAAACAAAACACAACAAATGCAAAAAAAAATAAAAAATCAAGTGAACGTTGCAGAGCGCGCTTAGGTCTTCAGTGAGGACATCACTGAAGACTTTTCGCTGTCGTCTTCTCCCGTTTTCGGGAGGTTGGGGGTGACACCAACGACGGAGACCTTGACGACAGCCAGCAAAGCTTGTGAGTGGTAGTCTTGACCCACGTGATGAACCGACACCAAGCCTCTGCCCAAGGACAGAAGTGGAGGACAGCGATTTCCTCCGGAGGAAAGTCGCCACTTCCGGTACAGCAATAATGCGATTGCAAGAAACATGTCCTTTTTAGACAGCCCTTAATAAGCATGAACGCCATTTAATAGACCTTACATGTGACGCAATGACCTGCTCTTTGTCGTGCAGACCTTTGTGTCAAAGGCCCCAGCGGAAGACAGCCTCATGATCAGAGTGGACAAGGCGGTGGACATGACCGAGGACCTGCTCGGAAAACTGTCCCGGTGAGCTGTTTTTTTTTTTTTAATTAACAGAGATAAAAGACGAGGGTATAGGACAAGGTAAGACGAATGATGAGATGTGATATAAAATTCAGTAGAGTCGATTGCTGGGCTAGTTGGTTTTGGAATTTGGAATACATTTTAGCGCTCAAAAAACAGGGACAAAGAGGCGAGAAACAGACAGCACAGTGCGCTACTAACAACTGATTTTATTACGTGAAACGACACTTTTATACCATCGGAGTTTCTGATTTTGCTCCACCACTAGCCAACCCGGTGCCAGGCCGCGTCATTGAGGAACGCACGCTCCTTGTCCAGTAAATCAATTGAGGCCACGCTGACACATGCTGCACCACCCTTCTTAATCTCATCTGCCTCGACTATCTCCCTCACAGTTTTTTCCTTGTGCCGTGCCAGAATCTTGCTCTCGAAAAACAACGGCATACACTTGCACCTTTCACAATGATCAGACAGATGACCGTCCCGATAATTTTCTACTTTAAGTTTGTGCTCCCTCAGCCTATCATTAACACACCTACCTGTCTGACCTATATACTTGTTTCCGCATGATAAGGGGATCTGATATACTACTCCCTCCGCACATTCAACGAAGGGATCCCTGTGTTTTACCGCGCAGCCAGAGGGGCCTTACAAAAAGGATCTGTCATCCTACATAATCTACTAAGTTTGTTTGGTGCGGAAAACACTACTTTCACGTTTGATCTATTGGCCACCTTTTTCAAGCCATGCGCCGTTTTGTGAATGTACGGTATCACCGCGACCTTCTGTTTATCTCTGACAACCATTAGGCAAGGGCGATCTTCACTACGTAATCTTTTTAATACGATCTCTGCAACTGAGACCACTACATTCTTCGGGAAGCCAGCTGCCAACAACCGCCTATACTGCGTGCCCAGGCCTTCTGACATCACATGGTGGCATGATTTTTTGAGGGCGTTAAGATATATTAGTTAAGATATATTCGAAAAGATAAAAAGGTACGATAAAAGACATCATAAATATAAGAGAAATATAAGTTGATATATAATATAAAGGTAAGAAATAGGATAAAGATAATATAAGAAATGACAAAAATAATAGACAAGATAAAAAAAGCAAAGTATAAGATAACAGTGATAAGGCTTGATCGCGTGCCGAGGGGCTCTACGAAGCCTGAGTCAGAGAATGTATACTCACACGTACGTCTTCGCAACGCCCGAAACGTTTCATAAACATTGCGCAGCCGTTGCAAGAACGTTCAAAAATTCACCATGAGTATCGTGTGGACATGGCTAGAGCGTCGCAATGTACCATGTACATTCTGACAACCCGAGGATGTTCAATGGCCCATGAATGTCGCGCAGAGGGGCAGGACACCAACGCCATAGGATGTCTCGTTTGAGCAGAACACCCCGATGCAGCACCACAATATAATCAGTCTGCGAACGACCTCTTCTTCCACGGAACGTCATCAAACTCGAATGGCGCTGCTAACTCAACAACTAGACCCGAGCCAGACGCTGAGCGTCATTTTGACAGACTGACTGCAGACACGACTGCAAGCCCAATGACTTGCAGTCGTGTTCAGTCTGAGTCTGCGCTCGATCACACTGTGATGATGTCGAAAGTGGTGTTGCCTAAAGGCACCGGATCCTGGGAAAGTATAGCGCCGTCGCCTCATATTAACAATTCTTTACTTTCTTCGTGCCCCAGAACAACCTCGCGGATCTGGTGAGTAGCACAAGTTAGAAAATTTAAGAGATACAATTTATATACTTTGACAGATGATAAAAAAATGAAAAAGGTCCAACTCATCACGGTAAAGTCCTAAATAAGTCGCACAAAGCTAGTTCAGACTAGAAAAAGTCTTAAGTGTCTTGCCTGCCTTGCCTAGCCTTGTGCCTTACCTGCCTGCTAGCCGAACACATGCAGATACTAACATACGGACGACCAAAACCTCGCAAAGCGACTGACTGACCGGTTTAGGTTGCTATGGCAATCACCATTTCCGTCGTTTTGAATATTCCAATTGCTTCGAAAGGGCCATCCTGAACCAGTCGCGCCAAAATCGCTATAAAGCGCCATCGTACTGAGGGCGTTCTTCGGCAGTTTAAACGTTTTTGGCACTGTGTATGCAATCAACTTATCAATCATGCTTATCTTCAGAAGATTTTGCAATTGTATTGTTCGTCTTGCGTAATTCAAGACAGGGAAATTATTTTTTAACATGCCAAGCATCGACGCTGAATGAGGGGGTGATGCGAGGATGTGCGCTGGTCCCGCAGGTGTTTGACAAAAAAAAAAAAATCTGGGTATGCAAGAAATGTTTCTATAAAGCAACCTGTCACCGAGAATTTTGAGCGGCTCACCAGTAATGGAGAGGTAAAAAAAAAAAAAAAAAACCTGCTCATTCCATAGATTAAGATAGAGACCATGGGGGGGGGGGGGGGGGGGGTTGACGCTATTTTCCCAGCATCCAGTGAGTTTAATGTTACCCAATGTTCCTATATATCACGTGTTCCTGGATATCACGTGGACGGTCCCATGACATATGTCCCCCGTTCCAAGATGTCATGGGGATATCTGGGCAGGTACCGTTACGTTTTACTTGAGGGCTTACACTGCCTTGGTCTGTTAGAAATAATCAGCGATATTTGTCATAATATCAGTGTCATTAGGCCAACAGCCGTGTATTTTGTGACACTACGAAATCGTGCTTTCCTTCGCTACTGCAGTCGGAATTTCTCTTATTTTTTCTACGTCTAGATTTAACAACGGTCTTGCGTTTGTTGTTGTCAGTTCACCTGTTCGATCGATTACGGGAATTTAGGGAAAAATGAGACAAGCAAGATTGTTTTTACAGCGTTATTTTCACAATTTTTTGTTCCTGTAGCAGGGACCGCGTTTATGTGTGCCCGCGTGCAAAACTACGACATGAGAATAAATTAGCATATTGAGAAAATTGTTTTCTGGTTTAAGCTACAATACTTTGGTGGTGTCAAAACCTATGGGAAGTTAGAACAATGTTTCGTTGGAATAATTTTTTTTTTCGAAATAGCTACAGCTATAACCGTACTGGTTACCAGAACATGACACCATATGAAAGAAGTATAAAAAGAGCTGATAATGTGGCTCCTCAGTCCGAAGCAACAGCAAGTTACTTTCTGACCGAATGCTGGAGGGAGGTTTACGTGTGAAAAATACTCACCAATTAGTGACCAAACACAAGTTAAACCTTAGACGTCCAGTTTAAGACCGGGTACGCATTTACACTACAGGTTGTCCACGTTCCTCATCCTTGAGACACAGGGGGCCCGCATGGGGGCGCTTCATACCTTACGGTTTCCCAACCCGTACCAACCATACAACGGCTCCCACAGGCGAGACGTCTATCTGGTGAGGACTTCTCTTTTTAATCCAAGTCCCAAGGGAGTTTTTCTTCAACATCATAGCCCCGTTCAAACCAGAAACTCACTCGTGATCGGGATCTCCTAGATCCGAAGCTCATAGGGCTGGAGCTTATGCTTCATCTACCAGACGCTAGAGCAGGGCACAGATTAAATGATGACTCAGCACTCGTGTCAAATTCGTACTTATTGAATTCAAATGATCTCATGAACTTGCATCGTTAGAAAGAAAAAAGTTGCAGCCCGGGAGGCAAATGTTTTCGAACATACCATGAAATGAATTTTGGGCTGGGATAAATGAGTTTAGATTGGAATTTTACTCAGCATACCGTTTAGTGGGCCAAAAGAAAAATAGTACACGAGGGTATAAAGCCAAAAGCCTGCTTTTCGGTACGAACATTTGAAAATATATCAGACTATTTCTTTCCTTTGAAAGTACAGCTTCTTTTCATTTTGATGCATCCTCCATGCGCAAGCAGATCAGCCAAACCCAGCTCACAGATTGACACGAGCCACAGCATCCTATATACTGACAAAGCCTGGCAGATCGCCACGAGAAGCAGCGACCGAAATGGAAAAAGTGGAGCGGCAGACAACGGATGAGAGGAGAGCCATGTGACTGGCGCCCCGCTGCGGCGAGACGCCAAAACACACGTCTCCCGAACGAACAAGTGTGTTTCGGGTCCTCGCCGCTGCAAAAGCTGTGCGCTGACGTACAGGTTTCCCGAAAAATGCTCTGTGTTACCAGATCCTCGCGCTCCAAATCTGCGACCGGGCACTCTATGGCTCCGTCGTCGAACTGCCAGGCTTTGTGAGTATAGAGGAGGCTATATGCACGAGCACTGCATTACTCGAACGTGTGCGCTCATTAACAATCAAACTGTCGACGAATCTTTGGATTTGCGTTCGTGGCCAATAAGTGCAGTGACGGCACTTTTCGTCACTCGCGAATGACAAGTTCCACGGTGGGCTTAAAAAAAACACGGTAGAAGCTTGGAGTCACCGTATCCGGTGCGCAAGCACGCCACGGCCACGTAATGTCTTATTTAGCTTTTGAGTCGAGGAGGAAAGCTAAGGAAGAAGAAGGTGAAAACAAAATGTTTCATGGTCTCTTTAATGATCTGCCGCAGAGATATCGGCTGTGGAATGTGCAAGCCTGGAAGACGCGACTGCGCGCGGACAACGTTTGCTTCAGCATCTCCCTGACGGTCATCAAGGGTCTCAAAGGAGCCAGACCTGGACTCCTGGGTTACTCCTACACAAACCTCAAAGAGGTACGGCACTCATGTACTCACTACGACATTTTAGTATGTAATTCTGCGTATCTTCAGCCTGCGGGTTAAGTTGGGAGACGCGGGACGTGCTACGTGTTTTGAGCTGTGCTGTGTTTTCATTTATTCGCTTTTTCTGAGCTCAAGAGTCACGTCAAACCTTTTTTCAGATTTTGTAAACTTTTCTTTTTCGCTAAGTTTAGTGAGAAAACGCTCCCCGTTGCATTTAGCGGGACATGTAATCCATAGAGTTGCTATAATGTACGCTAGAGGTTCAACTGGCACTAGTGTGCTGATGCAAATTGAAGCGGACAGCAACCAGTCGAAAGTTGACTTCCGCTAATGCATTTCTACGGGAAAAAGTGAATGCATTTTCTCCCTGCGCATGATTGTAAGAGCAGGTATCCCAAATAATTCGTACCAACAAGGTGTCTAAGAACATTTCTTAGCCACGCAGACCAAATAATTGGTCATTTACGGCTTTTTTTCTTACAAATTTGTGACATTAAACATAGTGCTAAAACAGCTTCACCCATGCATTTAGGTCCACCGTCGGACATTGTTAGCGCGAACACGGCGTCGGCGCTTTTTAGCATGGGGGATATACGTGCCAAACGAACGAAGGACATCTGGAAAACGAAGAGGGACGGCAAGAACTACGCAGTAACCCTGGATCAGTAACTCCCTGTGCATGTAAATGATCAAGATGCTTGATTCTTTCTGCTCATGAATATGTGAGAAGATGCTTGTTCTACGTTCAGATCATCACCCACACGCTCGAAATCTTTAAAAACAGGGAGACACCAGAGACCAAGTGCGCGATAAAAGCTGCCCGGCATAGGAAATAAAACAAAGAAACAAAAACACCTTCTCTAACCCAAGTTTTTTATACTTTACGTTTTGAATGTTTTTCACCACTTGTAAAGAAGCATGACGGTGTCATTTTGATATACGTGACAGGAATGCTATATTAGTAATATATAAGTGCCACCGGAATGCTTGCGAACCTTGAACAAACTCTACAATCCTTTCGATCGCTAGTTTACTTAGATTCGTTGTTCGTGTTTACAACTTTACACGCTTTCTGCGGAACACAGGTTTGGGTCTGAAATTTAGCGAAGTTACGCGCCGTTCACTGGTGAAGAAATATGATGTAACTAAAGCAATTACACTTTTACAGTGTTAATAAAGGCACATACTATTCGCTAGGACCCAAATAGCGAAAGTGTTCCATGTTGCACGCGCGTTTTCCGAATGCGCAGGAGCACCGCGAATGTAGACTGGTTGCTGTCTGTTTCAATAGACCGGTCTCACCAAGCCTTTCACGCATGCGTGACGCCGCCATAACTGTAGTTCGTAGGAGGCAGTCGTCAGTTCACGAGACAGCTCATGCCGCTTCGTGCTCTGCTCGCGCAGACCTCCAGCAGGGTTATCGCACGTGCAGAAAGACTACAGCTCCCACGATGCATGTCGGCAGCGGTGGCATACTCAAACTATATCTGGTGAGACCGGTCTATTTGTGTACCGGACGTCGCATAGACACTAGCGCCAGCTGAATCTCTAGCGTACATTATAATAACTTTGTGATGTAACCTTGGCGAGCGTGAGATGATATTTTGTAACCTGATGACTATTCGTGAATATTTTTCGTGGCGTGCAGTTTCTCGTAGCTCAACGATTTTTCGTTGCGTGGTGGTTTCTTTACCTTATGTCGCTTCACACTTTCCTCGGGGATTCCAGCCGATAAACAGATTATCCGTTAAAAATTTTGCTACGGTACTTACCTAACAAAACTGACTCGCGTAGAATGATTTCTGGTCGGTAAACCTCCGCGCAATCGTTGATGTCCAATGCGCATATTTCATGGGCGCGACGATTATATCAGAACCCAAAGAGTTTTTGACAAAATCGCACGACATCCTCAGTTCATTTGCGTGAGTTACGACGTCGTTCTCTCTGTCGTAACGCTTCCACGAATGGCCGACCCGCTAGCGGCATTTTGAAACGCAAATGTATATGCCACTAAAGAAGGCGGCTCATTATTGGGTGTTTTTTTCTTAGACATTAAAGATTGAATTTAAAAAAAAATCCATCTAAGCTACCCTATTGCGGTTTGTGCAGGTAAGTTATACGGCCAGGGGGACATAATATCCTTAAGATAACCCTTCTAAGTGTTTAGAATAAGTTAACTAACTTCTTAATTACAAAAAAAGAAAAGTATGGTTTCAGTGAGAAACTTGCTGAGCGTCATCAAGAACCCCGAAAACTGTCGTTTTGAGAAGGACTTGGAGCAAGTGAGAAAGGTGGAGCGCTAAAATGACCACCTCGTGCGGCAGGAGCGAGGCTACGGGTGCGTAAGTGTGCCCGCGTGTTTGTTTCGTATCATTCGTGTTTTCTCCCCACCAGCCTTTTGCCTGTTTCAGGAATGGTAAACTTAGTCATTATTCGACTTAGAGTGACGATTAGCCTTCTATACCTTGTTTTTCTGGTCGTATAACTCACTCGCACAGAGAGCATTACATAGCTTTCTCCACTTGAAAAACAAACCTTTAAGAAAAGAAAGAGAACACCCTGTGTCGTCGTCGTCCGTACGTAAAGTAGGTGAACTTGTGACATTTATTGTAACTTAAAACTTGAAATAAGAGAGAAACCACATAAGCACACTAGAAAATAATCAGTAACAAGAATATACAAATCAAAAGGCCACACAACATGTCAAACATTGTTTCTATATAGAACGGTTCAAAGCAAACGAGAGTGGCTACTCATTATCCATGCTATTACAATTAAATGATACATTCTCACACCATTCAAATTTTGTGCATAAGTCTTCTGGAAATATGCACCGAGTTTTGTCCTCACACCTTGCAGATCGCCGACGGTTGACTGCACAGTTCTTGCACCTCACTGATGTAGAAACGTCCGCACTGGACCAGCAAAAAACACAAAAAACATCGATGGCACAATTTTCGAAGGCAGCACTTTTTTTTACTAGTTCGACGTAACTGTTAATCAGTTTGCACACTGCGTAGGGACCACACAGTTTAAGGTTGCAGTTTTGAGTTTGCCGGCACGCACTCACTGTTGACCTTCTAAATTTCGGGACACAAAGCGGTACGTGCATGGCTTGACACGTGTATATGCAGTTACTCTGGGCTTTCGCAAATCTTTTCTAGGGCAAAGTTCAAAGCGCCTTCCTCCATTATTTTCTTCCACACGTGTGGGGATCGGATGCTCTTTAAGGGTTTACCTTCGCTCACTTTTTTTTTTCTTGAGCTCCCAGAAACGCGTGAGCTTCTGTTTGGCAACTGAGAGTAGAACGATCCCTTTCACTTTCGGTCTGAATGCCTCAACGAAGCTTTGCGTTTTCGTTATGGAGTACAATCCTGTATTTGTCAAGTTATACATGGATGCCCGGTGCTTGAGCACGCCGCCCACTCCATCACACGACCTTTTCCAGTGCCATGATGCGAAGAATATCCACTACACGACGACATTCTTTTTTTTTTTTAATTCGTACATCGGGTGCCTGTTTTTGAAGTGGCTTGGAGCACCGTCTGAGATATAAACGAGTTGCGTGAAAATAGGCAATACTTCCTCCAGTCGCCCTTCGACGACGTTGAGCGCAAAGAGCGCATGGGACGACCCATGGGCGAAGTCGTCGTTCACTGTGTAGCCACGCAGGTGAAGATGGAAACCATCTTGCTCTTCCAATGATGTCCTTGCACCGCGCGCTGGATTAAGACACTCCAGTTTTCAGCAAAATCCAAGTGCAAGATGACGGCACGTGACTTCACATGCGCTTTTTCGAGCCATGTGGCTCTTCGCTGGGCGCGTCTGATGAAGAAGTGGGGAATAATTTTTTTTTGTCCACTTTTGAAACCCGTTAAAAAACAAAAAAACGTGGCATCCAATTTGTTTTATGAATTTATTATTGCATTTTTACGATGCAAGCTCCAGTATGTCTTCGAGCTCGAGTCTTAGCTTAGCCAGCGATGCGTCATTTTTCTTCAAACAGACTTCACATTCTAGCAAAAAGAAGTCTTGTGAAGGTGTTTTGTTTTTTTTTTCAAAAACGTTAACAAAAATAAAAATATATTTTTGAAATCGTAGAGGCGGACAATGCCGGTAAGGTAGCTGTATTTTAGTCAAATTAACACACATTTTACAGGATTGCGGCTTGGATAGAAAACAAACAAACAAACTATTTCATTTCTAGATTGTTTTTTCTTGTAGTCGACTAATCTATCCAAAAGAATTTAAAAAATAAAAATTTACAAAAAATGCGGTTTTTGAGGTCAACTTCAAACTTTCAACATTTGTTATTTCTCACAACGTTTACGTGAAGGTGGCGGAGCGGCTAGTCAACAGATCATGATAGTATTATCATATCTATACTGGGCTTGCTTTGGGCTTTCTGTAGAGCTAAAAAAAGAAAATTTACCTTAAGTACAGACAAAGTAAGGACCTGTCAAAGTTGACCAAAAATCGAGCTGAACGACGAGTTTTGACATTTTATTTAAAAATATTTATAAAATTCCTACAAATATTTGAATAAATCAAGGTATCTTTATAGTACCTATTAAATGAGGAAACAAGTTAAAATGGTGAAGAAAAAAGCAGTAGTGGTAGCAGAGGTTGTCAGAACACGCGACCTGCGACGGCAGGTAAAAATGCTACTGTCTGCCACAGCGGCTTCTACGCTTCGTAACTCGAGAACAAAAAATGCGTGCAACATGCGGTTTGCGTCCTCCGAAATTTGAGAACTGCCCCCAAAACATATATTTTGTTTTGTCAAAATTAAATATTAGACCCGTTCAGCCTGCCCGATTTCAGATGAAACCACCCATATATATATACTATATATATAACCAAAGCTTGTGCAAGCTGTTCCTTCCCCTCCGAAACAATACAGAAAAAAACATTTTTTCTTTTGTGTTATTTTTTGGGGGGTGAGGAGTTTTGTTTAAAGGGGCACTGATCCTCCTCATTTTTTAATTTTTTGTCGGGCGATTTTTAATATGGTGTCAGAAGACTACGCAATCAATATTTTGCTGCAGCGACATGCATATTTTTAGTAATGTCAAAAAAAAACGTAACTGCTCGAAACTGAAACCAAAACTGGACTGGGAAGGAAGAATAAATATAGAGGAGAAAGTCACCGAAAGTCACGTGGCTGTGCAACTTTTTTTTTTCTTCTAATCAACGTATTTGCAGTTTTTGAGAAGCCAGAAAAAAAATTAGTATAATATTTTTTGTCTATTTTTAGTATTGAGTTTGTGCCATCATGACCCACGACTTCGATTATATTTGGTGGTTGTGTCTAAACCATAGAAAACGGCACGTGACCACGAAGAAGAGAGTGAGCGCTACTCAAATCGGCCAGTTCTCGATCGGCGGTTTTCTGGCGGCAAGAAACCGAATTTCGAGCCGCAAACTGTGTTCTAGGTAGCTGGGCTTTCATATGCCATGTACAAGGAAAACTCTTGGCGAGCATAAATACCCTGTCAGTGTCCCTTGAAGGTGGGACACTACCCAGAAAAATAATTCTGCTGAAAATGTGGTTTAAAAGAAAATGCCCTATTTACATCCATCAACATCTAGAGAGTTTTCACAGAAAGCTTCCATTATTTACACAACATAGTTATATTTTTATAAATTATTTTCGGTCCACTGATGCTAAAGAAAAGGTAATGGTTCGAGCACCTCGAACACGTTTATCTCCGCTCCACGTTTTGACATAAATTTCACCTTGAGGAAACTATCGTTGGGTAACAAGACGAAAGGAAAGGCTCACTAATGGACAATGAAGCTGTGGTATTGTTTTTGTTTCTTTTTACTTTATGGATGTCTTTTATAAATGATGTTAAGATTTTGTCGACAAGACCAAATGCAAGACATTTATCTGCTTTTTCAGCGCAATGTTAGCATAAAATAAATTACTTTTTGGAAAATTTGTTTTCACAGTTGCACTCTCCAGGCATACATACTGCTGCGTGTCTAGCAAAGCAAAATGTTGGGTATTGCGTTAGTTTTCTAACGATAGTTTTGCTAAACAATGTCAGTCCGTTCCCGATAAAAACCACCCTAATTTATTTCACAATTCACGTACACAGATGAAAGTTTCCTCTGCATTTTCTGCCTCACAGCTGCCAATAAATATACTGTCGATTTCATTCATATTAAGCAGAAGGCTCAAAAGTTGATTCTTTTGGGCGTTGTTTTTCTTTAAAACACCTTGCACACTATTTTTTTTTTCTTTAAGTGCCAGCGCAGCATAATTTGTAAAAGCGAGTTCCAGTCTCACAGCGCGCTTTGAGGCAAGTATCTTTCAGGGCAACATGATTCGGGTTTGTAACTTCGGCCTTGCCCTCGTGTCAAGTGAAACAAACTAGTGATTTTTTAACATGGCGACGTCTAGCTTCGTATTAATTTACAAATCTGATTTCTTTTTCGTCGAAGGCTTGTCGATTGCACAAGATTCAGACGGGAGTCGAGTGGATGGCCCTGTCTCGCTACAAGCAGAACCGAACGGTATTCTACGGATACGACAATAAGAAAACCATCACCAAAAAGGTAACTCTCATATCGTGTACCACTGCGGACAATATAAGCTACCAAAGCTTGCATATCGTTTTATGTTTCTTCAGAATACCCTATAACAGAGTCCTTTTATAGTGCCTAAAAATTATTGTCGGTACTTCTCTTAATTGTGCGGAATTCACGTGGCGCATTTTTTCCGTCCTCCACAAATGTTAACACCGTGTTCAACCAGTACATATAGAGGACTAGGCCTGCTAGTGACGTAATTGTTAGTGGATTTCCGACCCGCCCCCAAGCGGCAAATGGGCTAAATAAAGCTCGACAAGAGTATATTCGCAAAGCAACAAACGCGTAGAGTTTCAGAGTTTTTTTTGTTTGTTTTTTTGCTACTTGTGGTCATGTCATGGGGGTGCACAAATGATGACGTCATTCGCAGGCTTTGTCCTCTATAGGTGGTATTGATATCCGACAGAGCAAAATGGGCGATAACCCGCCTGCGCCCTTCCCGACACCGCCGAATACATACCTAAAGCCGAGGAAGTCGCATTTTTATATCGTATAACTATCGCCGATTTCGCCCGCTCTATACGCTTGGCACCGAAATGGCGGCGTCCACAAGGCATTCGAGGAATGGAGTGCGCATACTGTAGGCGTATATATATATATATATATATATATATATATATATGGTGTCTGAAATAGCCAGGCTCGTTCTAAATTGGGCCGTAAAAATCGGCGCCTGCACGTAGCAATCTAGACTTTTCGTCAAAGCTGTATTTTACAGGTCGGTTTTATCTTGCAGAATTACAAAGCGTAGCTACCTCTCGGTAAAAATAGGGCCAAGAAACTTTCCAGGGACAGAGACGGACGGTGACGCAGACGACCGAGTCGAGTGGGAGCGCTCGCTTGGCGCACGTATTGATAGATGGCGCAGATGGTCCACTAAATCAGTAATTTTCAGAAAGACTTTGAGGACGTGAGAAGCGTAGTATATATATCTTGATGAGGGTTCCAGGCAGTGACTTTTGCCTTCGAAACACTATAGTGCATGAAATGCAGTATTTAGGAAGTTATCATTAATTTGTTTATTAGAAGACTATATACGGTGTTGTACATTATATGTTACGTACGTGGCATCAGTATACGTGTGCACTATATATAAATATATATATATATATATATATATATCGAAAGTAAAGGGGTCAGGACTCAGGTGGCGTTGGGTCACGTGACATCAGTTTTCCCGCTAAATTTATCGGGAAAACTACATTGGTTTGTATTTCACATGACATTGCGCACGTGTTGATAGATGGCGCAGATCAATTTCCCCGCCAGATGTAGCGAGGAACTGAATTGGTGTATTGATCGTGTGACGTTAATTTTTCCGCTAAATGTTACGGGAAAACTAAATCGATCAGTAGGTGACATGATGTCAGGTCACGTGACATCAAATTTCCCTCTAAATTTAGCGGGGGAACTTGATTTGTATATAGGTCACGTGACATCGATTTCCCCGTTAAATATAGCGGGAAATTCACGGCCGGACGGACGGACGAACTATTTTTGGAATTGGTTTTTAGCATTAAAAAGCATTTTATGCTTTAATATTTATAGCTTTTGAGGGTTCTAGGCGAGTCAAGCGCTAATGAAGACGAGACGCGATCAAACGCAAGGAGCTCGCCCTTGTAGACGTTGCTGATAAAATGGTTCCACGAAACGCCTTTTTTTTTTTTTTTCTTTTTTTCGGCAAGCCGTTTTTGGTTATGTTGATAAGCAGCGTCTTTAGCGTTCGAGATATCTTTACACGCGGACGCTTAATTACTGGCGTCGTTTTTTGGGGGTTGGTGTCGGTGAAACGCCGAAGCACATGTCGAGTGGCTCTGTCGATGACAGAATTCGGTAATATAGGATCGGGTCCGTATTTAAACAGCATAAATACAAGCTTAGTCCGATTTGTTTTCTTTTTTCGGAGTTGCCCCACGGCGGCATCTATAAACCGGCACACTGTTTACAAACAAGCTCGCGTTTGCCCAGACCGGGTGTGGGCACTGCGCGTGCGCAGAAACCGAATTGAAGAAAAGTGAAGCGTCTGCGCATGCGCAGTGTCGTCGACAGCGCCACCGCAGCTGCGTGACGTCAGGGCGGCGTGATGGTCTATACTGGGGCCTTTATGACCAACGACGGGTTGAAATCTCGAATCGAGTGTCAGATGACGCTTCTTTGTGTCGCCAACTACACGGAGCGCAAATTTGTCTGCTTCATTTGCACTGGTTGTGGTGACGTCAGAACGCCGAGCGCTCTGATTGGCTCTGATTGAAGGGTAGTGGGTAGACCTCAAGGCATCTTGCTTTGAGGTCTACCCACAACCCTTTAATCAAAGCCAACCAGACCTCGGCGTTCTGTCGTCACCACAACCAGTGCAAATGAAGCAAACAAACTTGTGCTCCGCAGAGTACGTCAGAGGCAGTCCATCATGACACAAACAAAAAATTGACCAAGCACAAAACACACACTCCGCGAAAAAAAAAAAAAAAAAAGATACACTTGGGAGTGCAACGAGATTTCGGACCGGAAGTATGTCATGTGGGCCCGCCCCTACACGGTCTCTGTTTTCGCGTTACTTATTGAATCACGCGCACAACAAACATGTCCGGATTTTTTTTTTTTTTTTTGCAGTTGTGGCGGGTGTCCCACGAGTTCCCGAACTACTGCGTTTCGGTGTACGACGTGGAGAATGACGACTTCGAAGGCTTCTGCCCCAACAAGAGCACGCCGCTGTTGAGAATCATCAGAAAACTCGTCACACCGATTACGCACTCGAGATTCATGTTGATCTGATCATTGGACGCGCTTCTCCGCAGCACTTTAGTTTACAGAGAGAAAATGTATAAAAGTCAACGTTACACAAATTTAAGCGTTTTTACTTCTTCTTTTTCTTTGGTTTTAGTGGAGCCAAGTTTTATTTTGAAGTGGGGCATTTCGTAATCGAGGATTCAACCAGTGCTTCTGAACGCGCCAAATGATCCATCATACATCACCGCAGCCCCATTTGCCTGGCAAATTAAACCACACTAACGTTTTCCTGGCAAACTGGACACGAGAGTGTTCTAGGGAACCGTTTTTGCACATCCGATACGGGTATACGATGAGCCTCCGGTACGAACTGCACATCCGCTAGCACAGGAGACTCGCATACACGCAGTACGTACCTCAGGACCCATTGTCGTATCAGACGTGCAAAAACATTTCCCTAAAACTCTCTATTGTGAAAGTTTCCACGGTAGGCTAGTTCATTTTATTGAATGCATGACGTAAAGAGTTTACTGCACTGGACGGGTGCGGTGCAGGCCCAGACGAATTGGCCATTAAAGACCCCAACAGAAGTACACTATCTGCACTTTTCTGCACAAGTGCAGGCTAAAACAGGTAAATCTTACGAGCCCTGTATCTGCCCTGTATCTGCTCTTTCTGCCCCCTGTACGTAGCACTGGTTGGGATTCGTAGAGGAGCAATCTGTTCAGTATTGAACGTGCGTCACGCAGTTGATTACGCCGCCGCATGCCTGTAAAATATGATCATTCAAATGAAAAGGGGCAGGGATTTAAACGCCAAGGTCACCGGCGCGAGCTTTCGCTTTATCTTCTCCGAGCGGGCAGCTGTTCACAACCAAGCCCGCGCTTGCACACACCAGGTGCGTGCAGAGACCAGATTCGCATGACGTACAGAGCCTAAAGACCAGCTTGAACTTAAGAGAGGAAAACATGGAACTACAGATATAGAAAAAAAGAGACCGCTGGACTACAAACTGTTATTTAATACTTTTTTCTCTTCGTGTACCTTGACCATCTGCCTCTTTTTTATCTTCATTCTAAAAGTTATAAATACAATTTGGTTTGAAATGATTCCCATTGTAGCCGGACGTAAAACGCAGCAAACATTGTTTTTCACGTGTGTTTAGCTTGATGAAAGCCACGCGGACGCACATTGCTTCGTTTTCTTCGACGGCCATAGGTTCAAGCATCTTTCGTGCATACGGGCTTTTGTTCCTCGCAAGGATGGTGATGCTGCTGAACGCTGCACTGCATTTACGGGTGCGGCAATGAGCTGGCAGATGACCTGCTGTGGTTTCCTTGACAGATGATGTACGCTCTTTTGTCCTAGCATTTACGCACCTGCCAGTTTGACCGATGTAACATCTGCCACATGATAGGAGAATGTGGCAAACAACCAACTTCTATATCACACGGGACATATTCTGTCTTGTGAGAAATGTTGGACGTGTTTTCTGGTGGATGTTGCAGTTTACTTTGCGGCACGTAAAATGCTCCTTGTTTAGAGTAGAGCACACGACCCTAATGTCCTGTCTCGCGGCTCTTCTTTAATTTGTGGGTTAGGCCATGAACATGGGGCAGAACATGAATGAATACAAAAGTCAGTATGCGCAAGAGATGCTTGAAACTGCATGACCGCCGAAGAAAACGAAACATGCGTCAGCATGCATAATTAAACAGCGCACAAGGAGAGGGACAGAAAAGGAAGACAGAACAGGCAAGCGCTGACTCGCAACTGACGATTTACTATGAAAAGGAGAAGGAAGAAAACTACACACATGAACATATATCGGAAAAGAGAAAGATGTGAAAAAGCTAATAAATTAAATAAAATTACACCTAAAATAATTATAGCTGAAAAGGAAAACAAAATAAAATGAAAATCAATCTCTCAAAGTCCTAGGCATGTCCAGTGCCGGCACTCCGAAACCTTGACCATACACCTATTTGTGCGCAGCTGCCCCCATAAACTCATACTCGCTGTCTTGTAGTGTTAATGATGGCTGGCTCACACATTTGGATTCGAGCTTTCTTATCCAAAAGGCTTCCACTATTTCTCTTGTTGTTTTTTCTTTATGGGAAGCTAGAACAGTTGTTGCACAAAAATCTGGATCACATCCACAGGTTCTGCAGTGGATGGCTAGGTGGCTTCCAGTGGTGGTTTGAAGAGACTGTTTATGTTCCCTCAAGCGGTCGTTGAGGCAACGCCCAGTCTGTCCGACATAGGTTTTCCCGCAGGACAGAGGAAGATGGTAAACCACTTGTAGAATGGAAGACACAAAGTGCACCTTGTGGTTTTTCATACAGCAAGCCCTGCTGTCATTGTTCTTGTCCACAAGCGTGCAAATTCTACCCAGTTTGTTTGGGGCTGAAAACACCATGGGCACGTTGTATCTATTGGCAACATTTTTTAAGTTGTGCGACGTCTTGTGGATGTATGGTATAACTAGTGGTCGGATATTGGTAAGGTCTTTGCTCTTTTTTCTTTTGGTCGATCCTTTACAGGTTTGTATCAGAGTGCCCGCAACTTCACTTAACATGGCTGATGGAAAGCCGGATCTTGAGAGTTTGTTTACTTGAGTGCTGAAACTCTGTTCGATGGTGTGGTGACAGGATTTTTTCAAAGCTGAATACATGCATGAACTGGCTATCCCTCTTTTTATTAATTTTGAATGGGCAGATTGGTAATTAAGAATTTCTTTTTTGGAGCGTGGTAGGTAGGACCAACAAATGTGGTGATCTGAGATTTTTATAGATAGGTCCAGGAACTGCAGCACATTTAGAATAGGTTGTTCATACGTAAAACTCAGACCTTTACCGCTTCTGGAGAAAACACTCAGGATTGTATCTATTAGGTCTTCTGTTTGTTCTTCTTGGAGGATAATAAGAAAGTCATCAACGTACCTGAAGACTTTTATAATAGACATAGTGCTCAAAAGCGGTGCGAGGATCATGTCTACGCCTCCCAGAAAGATGTCGCTTAAGATGGGAGCAACACATGACCCAATGCACACTCCAGACCGCTGTAGGTATGAAGAATCTTGCCATTTTACAAACTTGTTTGTAAAATGGCAAGATTCTTCATACCTACAGCGGTCTGGAGTGTGCATTGGGTCATGTGTTGCTCCCATCTTAAGCGACATCTTTCTGGGAGGCGTAGACATGATCCTCGCACCGCTTTTGAGCACTATGTCTATTATAAAAGTCTTCAGGTACGTTGATGACTTTCTTATTATCCTCCAAGAAGAACAAACAGAAGACCTAATGGATACAATCCTGAGTGTTTTCTCCAGAAGCGGTAAAGGTCTGAGTTTTACGTATGAACAACCTATTCTAAATGTGCTGCAGTTCCTGGACCTATCTATAAAAATCTCAGATCACCACATTTGTTGGTCCTACCTACCACGCTCCAAAAAAGAAATTCTTAATTACCAATCTGCCCATTCAAAATTAATAAAAAGAGGGATAGCCAGTTCATGCATGTATTCAGCTTTGAAAAAATCCTGTCACCACACCATCGAACAGAGTTTCAGCACTCAAGTAAACAAACTCTCAAGATCCGGCTTTCCATCAGCCATGTTAAGTGAAGTTGCGGGCACTCTGATACAAACCTGTAAAGGATCGACCAAAAGAAAAAAGAGCAAAGACCTTACCAATATCCGACCACTAGTTATACCATACATCCACAAGACGTCGCACAACTTAAAAAATGTTGCCAATAGATACAACGTGCCCATGGTGTTTTCAGCCCCAAACAAACTGGGTAGAATTTGCACGCTTGTGGACAAGATCAATGACAGCAGGGCTTGCTGTATGAAAAACCACAAGGTGCACTTTGTGTCTTCCATTCTACAAGTGGTTTACCATCTTCCTCTGTCCTGCGGGAAAACCTATGTCGGACAGACTGGGCGTTGCCTCAACGACCGCTTGAGGGAACATAAACAGTCTCTTCAAACCACCACTGGAAGCCACCTAGCCATCCACTGCAGAACCTGTGGATGTGATCCAGATTTTTGTGCAACAACTGTTCTAGCTTCCCATAAAGAAAAAACAACAAGAGAAATAGTGGAAGCCTTTTGGATAAGAAAGCTCGAATCCAAATGTGTGAGCCAGCCATCATTAACACTACAAGACAGCGAGTATGAGTTTATGGGGGCAGCTGCGCACAAATAGGTGTATGGTCAAGGTTTCGGAGTGCCGGCACTGGACATGCCTAGGACTTTGAGAGATTGATTTTCATTTTATTTTGTTTTCCTTTTCAGCTATAATTATTTTAGGTGTAATTTTATTTAATTTATTAGCTTTTTCACATCTTTCTCTTTTCCGATATATGTTCATGTGTGTAGTTTTCTTCCTTCTCCTTTTCATAGTAAATCGTCAGTTGCGAGTCAGCGCTTGCCTGTTCTGTCTTCCTTTTCTGTCCCTCTCCTTGTGCGCTGTTTAATTATGTATAGCAACCACCAACTAGCCCAAGTATCCACCATTTTGCGTCAGCATGGCTTCCATCAAGCTATACACGCAAAAAAAAATATTTGCGTGTTTTACGTTTCGTTGAAATGCGGGTCATTTCAAACTATTCTAGTATCATGCACCGATTAGCTCAACTCAAGCCCATTACTCAGACATGGCCTTTCCAAAGTTGCCCTTCTTGGCCACCTGCCGCGCTGACTAGCAGTCGACCGAGGAACCCCCTGCTCACTGCCCTGAGGCTATGCTAAAAAGGGCACTGGTAGGGCCACTAAATAAGCTACGCTTAAAGTATCGGCACTCTGTTCCCCGATGTGCTAGAGTGGGCGCCGCCATTTTGGTGCTTAGTGGAGAGCAGACGCAAGTGTCGATCGTCACAATTTTTAAAAAAATGCGGTGTTAAAAAAACTGAGGTGATATTTTTTTTTTTTTCTGCCGCGAACTGTTTTAACATTTCTGAAGGACGGAAAAACGTTTCCTGAGATTTCAGATAAAGCTCCAGATAACTGGCAAACCACGATTTTAAGCACCAAAATTGCT